TAGAGCACTTTAACTCTGTAAGTTGCAGTTGATGATTACGATTTCCACCACGAATGCTTCGCATTATAATCGCTTCCAGTTACAACTCGATTTTCTAGTGAAAATAAATGGTTGTCTAGTTTTATTTTATTATTGTTTTGTTTGGAGGATAGTAAATAAATTATAATGTTATCCGACCATTATCACCGTTTATGATTGTACTAGTTGCTTAATGTACGTAAATTTTACTATTGTGTGTGTGAACTTGATGAATTATATTGGTTTTGATTATGATCGTTGTGCCTCTATGTGATTTATTGAATGAATAATTTGTTTTGTGTAAAGCGTAAGCTGATATATTTAGATAATTCTTGTTTATAAAGTGTATTTCTGATATTAACATGATGTCTATATTTTCGTAGATTAGAAATGTTCTTAATTGAAGTGTATAACACCTGCAGATAGCAAGTTTTTAATTGTTCATTATGTCATTTTATTTACTAGTATAGTTAATTGATTTAATATAATGTCCACTCTTTACGGGAGCTGCTCCATTATACGTTCAAGGTTATTTGTATTTTGATCGTTATTATATTTACTTGACTCCGCCTGTGTATTAGTTTGTTTGGATTCTTCTATCTCGTTTTGTTTTGCCGTTACTTTGGCAACGTATGTTTGGTTTGCTATGACTGTTTAAATTCATACATAAAATTCAGTTGTGCTTTAATTCTGTTTGAACTTCAAAATTCTTTTTTCAATAGGGAAAATAATTCTTGTAGTAACTGTTTGCAAATTAAACATCTTGCAGTGTAGTTACCATGACAATCTGCGCACCTTACTTTTTTAATTTGATTTTCAGATCCAGCACTCCTTATCTGCGTATTATTTTGTACATTGCATACAGACTGCACTCTTATAACAATAATTTTCTGTATGAATATATTCTTGACAGTTGTGACATTGGGGGGTGTTTCTTTTGACATTTGGTGGATCAACTTTAGCAATTGTGTTTCAAAATTTATTCACTTTGTGAATTTCCTGACTTTTATAATCGTATTCTACTTAAATGGAGAATAACGACAGTGATTATAGTGTGATGTTGAATATTACGGAAGATATTTTATGCCCATGTTTCTCTATAGCATTTTTCAATTCGTCAGAATCAACTGAAAGGTGCATGCTTCATAGTACGACTTTGAATCTTTGTCTTCTTAACACTGATATTTGTAGATTGTATATTTCTTTCTTTAAATGCATCGATAATCAATAGAAACTTTTGTGAGGTTGTTGGTTGTATTTTTATTTTATTTTTGCCCAACACTTTTAAAAAATTGCCTGTGTAAAATTGCCTTTGACGATTTTATTAAGCAGATTTTCTAACGGGAGAATATTTTCTACATTATAAATAAAAATCGATTTATTTTTGAAAGTATTTACATTAATTTTTTATTGCATTCGCTTCACTGTGAAATGAGTTTGCTTTTTTGCTTATCATCTTTTTGTATCTTGTTTTTTTTGAAATTTTTCGTACTTGTTTTTACTTAAGCGATAATCTGCTAATTAAGTTTGTCAGTTGTTATTTTATCTTTTAGTTTGGTTTATTGAGTTGTTTGCTGTCTTTTTCCGCTAACTTATTTTCATAATTCAGTGTTAATTTGTATAAGAGTAAATAAAATGTTTTGTTTCAGAGTGGCCGTTTTGGCCATTATTGTATCTTTATATTTTAAGATCGTAGGACAAATCCAAGATAACTGTCATTTCAATAATTTTAATAATAATTTAGCTTTCCAAAAAGGATGTCGTGATGGAAGAGGACTTTTTTGTGGGCCAATCGTGGACGTTTCTCTAGCAACTCGGTTTTCAAACGATCCAATAACGATGAATAATATTCGCCTGTAATGGTTTTACCCTTTTCTAGATAGTCGATGAAGATTATTTCTTGCGAATCCCAAAAGAGAGTCGCCATAACCTTCCCGGCCGAAGGAATTGTCTTCGCCTTTTTCGGAGCAGATTCCCCCTTGGTAACCCATTGTTTAGACTATTCTTTGGTCTCAGGAGTGTAGTGATGTATCCATGTTTTATCTACAGTGATGAAACGACTCTTAAAGTCTTGCGGATTTTGCTGGAACAGCTGCAAACCATTCTTGCAACACTTCACACGATTTCGTTTTTGGTCAATCGTGAGCAATCGCGGCACCCATCTAGCGGAAAGCTTTTTCATGTCCAAATGTTGGTGCAAAATATTATGTACCCATTCGCTCGAGATGCCTATAGTACTATCAATATCACGCACCTTCACTCTTCTGTCAACCATCACTATATCATGGATTTTATCAATGATTTCTGAACTAGTAACCTCAACAGGGCGTCCAGAACGTTCAGCGTCTTTTGTGCTCATATGGCCACTCCGAAAATTTTGAAACCACTTATAAACCATTCTAATCGAAGGTGCACAATCACCATAATGTTTATCAAGCTTCTGTTTAATCTCCTGAGGCGTTTTGCCTTTGAAAAAGTGATGTTTAATCAATACACGAAATTCCTTTTCGTCCATTTTTTTACAACCACTCGATTTCTTTGATTGAAACGAATGTAAAACGCAAAGTAATTGGCCGATCTGGCTGAAACTTGGTGTGTGCTTTTCCAAGATATGCCACTAACTGAAAATAACCTTGATACGCACTAGTAGCGCCATCTCTTTGACTTTGCACGGACTTTTCAAACGACCCTCGTATTCTTCAAATGAATTTCAAATTCAAAATATTTAATGTATGTGTGTGCGCGTGTGAACAACAATTGATTTTTCTCTCAAAATAAATGGTTTTTTTGTGATATAAAATTGTGACGTAGTTTATTACTACTGAATAGTATTCTTCTTTTAAGAGGTATGACCACAACTGGAAAACGAGCCCTTATACAATAACAAATTTGCCCATAGTTAAACGTTATACCTGTTTGAATTTAGGGTACGTAATTACAACAAGAACAAATGTCGGGTAATTATAGGATTAAAAAAAGTTAGTAATTCTAGAAGTTCAAAAAGTATTTTTTATTTAAAAATTATATATATATATATATATACATATATATACATATATATAATGATCGTACCAATATTTATGGTTTTCCATAATTATTTCAAACAAAGAGAACATGGACAACACATTTATTTATGCGGTAGACTCGCATGACGAGTGCCAGGGTTCGAATCCCGGATGAGCATTCATAACTTTATCTGTGAAAAAAATATTGCCAAACACTATATTGCGACTCAAATAATTTGTACCATTTGAAAATTGCAGATTCAGTGACTAGGGGATGACAATTCTAGAACTATATACCTTCGACCGTTGAAGAATTGAATATACTCCGGGACAAAAAAGTATCTTATCCAGGAATGAAAAATTCACGAAAATTTAAAAGATAAATTAAAATCATTACAGTTTTATAAAGAATGAGTATATTTACATAAATTTTTTTAAATAAGAATAATTATATTCTATCCTAACTTTTTATCAAAATCATTTGTATAATTTTTTAATTACAATTCATATCACATTAATTATTATAAATATTAGTTATTTTAATATCAATAATTTTCATTCTGTTCTCAACAATTTTAATCATATACATTTATTTCACTAAATTCGTGAAACTGATAGTCTTACACTAATTTATTAATTTACTACTTGGAAAAGATCATTACGACTCATAAAAATTTGATAAAATCATTACAAATGTTTTATAATAAAAAGCAGGTAGAAGAAATATAAGGCAGTTATTATTGTTATTCAAATTGTGTATGTCCACGACACTGTATTTAATACATATGATAAGCAATGATTATATTAATTGAATTGATATTAAAACAAATAAAAGCAGCATGAACAGAAGCAACTTAAAAAGAGTTAGGGAAAAAAACAGACTACAATACGATATGGACTATGCTGGAGCGTTTATAGAAGAGCGAAAATTTCGATTGAACGTTATAATTACTTCAAGCTATACTATGCAATTGAAGTTAATTGTATTATACTGCAACATAATGAAATATCTTCCAATAGAAATATTAATTGTAATTTATAGTTAGATTACAAAATTGATTTTTACAAATATCTCAATTACCTTACAACACCTTATAATATTTGTTCCTAAAATATTTTTAAATTTCATAATTAATTGCATATTTTGAAAATGTAATAAATAACATAACATGACTAAAGATCATTATTAAAATTCATATTTACACATATTTCATCAAGCTACATAGTTTATAGAATATGCATTGTCCATAAGTACTTCATAAGTACTCCATAAGTAACTTAGAAATCCTTTTAATTATTGTACTTGTTTTCTGAAGAGAGTATTGAAATGTGATAAGTTTAATGCTATAAAAAATTTTTTTCTTATTAACATTTTAAAACGATTTCACATAAATTATTATGAAGTACGAAATTTTCAAATAGATTTTGATCATCTTTCTCCAGAAATATTGTTATTTAAAAATTTTATTTTATTTTAAACGAACTATTTTTTTAAATATATATGACTTTATTGAAGAAACTAAGAAATTTTTTTATCACGTAGCATTATTTTCTAATTCATTCTTTCTTACCTAATACAGCTATTCCAGTAATTATTCATAAAGCTAAATATTTTCAGGGTCACGATCACAATGAACGATCAGCTTAATACATTACTGCACGATTCAAAATTTTTTTCAGCAGTGGTACTAATTTTATAATATCCAATGTATAAAATAAAAAATATAAAATTAAGTAAATATTAAATTTCTTAATGCTGTACGATTTTAGTAAAGTATACTATTAACACAAAATATTTGTAGATAATTAAAAAAGATGTGCTTTAAAAGACTATTTTAAGGAACATACATATTGTACGCTAATTAAATTCTAAATTAAAATAAAATGAATATCATGTAATAGCATATAATATCTACCAATAAAAAATAAAATTAAAGTAGCATTAAAAAATAATAACTACTAACTAAAACGACTGACCTTGAAATTGCTTGCATGCACGGGAGTAGAATCCTCGCTGTTTTTGCGCGACATTATGTCGGGTTCTATGTAAGAAATAGTTTGCGTTTTCGTAAAATATAACTTCGCTCTTGGCTGTAAATTCTCAATACATATTCTCAGCTTTCCAGGGATCCGATAAGATAGTTCATTCCGTTTTATATCTATCTTATTTCTTTTGATATTTGTCTATACTGTGTTGATTCCTTGCCTACCCTTCTTAAAGGCATACAGCTTGATAGTTTGCCGGGCAGTTAAATACACACATACACTCACGCCCATATAATACACATGAATAAGGCAAGGCCCCGTTTTCTGTCTTCCCTCCTGTTTTTTCGGCACGCGTTCTTTTGTCGCTCCAAAGCCCCTATGACGTAGTTCTGAACGTATATTTATGTACGTCTATATATGTGAACACATATATGTGTATATTCATATGTGTACGCAAACCCACGTGCATGAAAGCTTTCGCTAGTATTAGTTCACTTTTACATGCGCATGAGCACACGCGCTTCTAATCGATATATTTTGTGAGTACGTTCCTATCAAGAATAATAAAACACTTAGATAACCTACCATATGATTTATTCAATTTGTAAATACATAAACTTTTATTATACTGGCAGCACAAATAATTTGTTAAAATTTGTGTAGAGTCTTAGTAAAACACATAGGCAGTAATAATTCACATCGTAAGTTTTCCAAATTTGAATAGAATTCAAAAGTATCTAGTAACCCGTAAACAAAACAATGACAATAAAACTTTATTTCAGAAAGAGCAGCATGCATAACAGTTGAGTTGAATCGATCGTGTATCTGCTTTCAGCCAGGAATTAGAAGCGAATAAGATAAGTAAGCAAGCAGACGGTGAGGGAGAAAACGCAATAGTTGTAGTAGTGGTGGTAATGGTGATGACGACACACTGATACGAACTTAGTATATAACTCCTACTAAACATTAATGCACCTATGATTGTATTCATTCACAACTTACGGAATATATTGGATATAATTTTACATAATAACAAATTTCAAATTAAACTATACAAAGTTGTAGAGAATTGTAGATCATAAAATTATAATATTTGAAATAATCTTATATAGTCACGTATACCAACATACATACAGGAGACTAGTAGAACATAAAAACACATATACATGCGTATATTCATTTCTATTAATGTATTGAAGGCACTACATTGCATTTAGTGATTTCGACTATAAATAAATATGTTATCAAAAAACAATCTAACAATGACATATATTTTTAACCATTCTAATTCAAATAATGTAAAAGATACCTGCAAATCATAAGAAGACCAGCGCAGATCTAATTATAATATTCAAAGTGTTCTTAATGACCATGTAAAATTGGTGCAGATATCCCGATAAAATTGGATAATGGTAAGGCTGATATATATAATGAGAATCACTCTCTATGAGTTACAATGTCTTCCATTATAATTTTAAATATTTTAATCACAAATAGTATAAAATTATCATGTACATAACATATTTAACAATTATGATAACAAATTTAATTTGCCACGCTTTTCTGAAATTCAAAATGTTTGACAAGTACCCTTGAAACGTAAAAAAATATTTTTTTAAACGGTTCTATTTAGTCTAGAATATAGATTCCAATGAAAATAATGAGCTATCCTAAAATGATTTTTGTTTATTCTAACATTCAGAAAAGCTTGGCACATCAATAAAAAAATAAGGTGTTATGCAAACGGCGACAATGGAACGTGTAATTTAGATTTTTGTGCCTATAATGAGGAAAATTGTAGCTTATTTGGATTACTCCAAAATAGAAAAAATTTCAGAACGTTGTTTTAGGTTACTTTTTAACCGCCATTAAGAAAACTTTGAAAATTCAGTATTGGATCCCAACTGATAACCTTCATGTGTATTGCAAATCAGTAACACATATGTACTGGCCATTTTTATTTAATAATTAGAATAACTAAAATTATCTACTTATTATGTGGTATAATAAAAATAATTAATTAATTTCATTTCTATGATACCATGTACATTTTCATCATGTAACATTTTCAATTCAATTGAGAAACAATTAAGTTACAGTTAATTACAAATCGCCGGTAAACTTAATTTTTTGATAATTAATAGACGAAATAGTATTATGTATAGTTAAATGAGTATAATTTTAGTAATGTTGGATAAAAAAGTTTTTATAAATGATTTTTTTAATGTATACATCAAAATATTTAATTTATAAATTAAAAAAGTCGAGAACAGTTGTTTGACACTATATTTAATAGTAGAAGTCTTACAAAAGTTATTAAAATTTTTTTACCAAAGCTTAACTCAAAATCAAATAAATCATAAATTATCAAAAATGTCATAAAAAAATAAAATAATTTTCCATTTATTTTCTGACATGCTTTCAAACGTTTTCATTTACTTGGTATCAAGCTATAGTCAATGCTAAAAGTATTTTAAGTAATTTTTGAAATTAGACTTAAAAAACAGCTTCACGAGCTTTTAAAGTGAGTAAACGACAGATACAAATTCAGTAATTACTTAAAATTGAAAGTTTTATAAAATGAATTCTTTACACAACATTTTAATAAAGTTTTATAACTTCTTATAAATCTACGTTAAAAACATTTTCTTGGGTTTAAAAATAGTTACAGAATTTCGTAAAAGCAGAAAATGTGAAAGTTAAAAGTATTCTAGTTTTGAAATTATTGTTTTCAACACATACTACCTTACACTACAGTACACTATAATACGAAATACTAAGAAATATTAAGTTGATAATCATGCTATGGGCACAAACGGAACCGTCTTGAAATTATTAATGAAAAGTATGACAAAAATAATATACTTCCTCGAGGCTGGAAAAATTAATAGAAAAAAGATTATGGAATAATACTGCAAAATTCGAGCATAAGTTGTAATGCTTTTCATTACGATATTAATTAAAAATATCTAGCTGATGAGGTTATGTTGGATTTTGTCGGTGGTTTGAGTGTATGCGTGAGTAACGGCTTTTCAGGAGTTTCTAGGTGGATTCAAGATTTCTGATTAACTGTCTCGTTGAATTGAATGAAATTTAAAAGGTGATAGTTAATTAGATTTTCTAACTCGCTTATCAATTCCGCTCATACCCTGCTTTAAATGAAGAGTTGCCTACGAGAGTTAGACCGATCAACCTTTGAAATTCCACGAGCAAGGACAACGAACCGTTAAGAAGTCAACTGACCACTTTGTGACGGAAAAATCTACTGGTTAGAAACGCAAACTTCAATACCTATCGCAGTCGATTAGTATTATTCGAGTTCTGTTTATGCGTTTCCAACTCGAATTTCCCACGACTGCTGCAACCTAAGGAGGGTAGTCTGGCGCCCGTTAAGGTAGTTTGATAAAAAATCATTTTTCTTACGATATTCTTAAAATTTTAATCATATATTCTTAAGAATATTATCTATAATATATTTTAATTACATAAAGCTCAACCGTGCCAAAAAAAATATAAAATTTTGAAGTTAAATTTCTTAACATGTAAATCCCATCCTTGAGCTAACAAGTAACGTTTTGATTAGAATACGTGGTGTAATGCGTGTGCCAAATACATTTTTCTTCGAAACTTGATGAACAAAACAAATCAAGGAATAGTCTGCAAATGATTTATAAAATGTTGCTCTTGTGGTGTTATTATTAAAGTGGATACTGAAAAACAAAGTAATAAATATTATTATGACACAAATCTGAAATCAACTATAGGTACATTACTTATATAAAATCAAATTTTGAACGAATATATATGCCTATATATTTGATATAATAATCGTTTTAAATGTTTACAGGTATGGTTGATGCGAGTATTGGTGAAATTAAATTGAATACCTATTTATCAACATTGAATGCAACACACATGAAGCCAAATCTTTAAAACAACACAAGAGATCGTGAGAAAAGAAATAGAAAATTTAGCAAAAGCATTTTGTGTGGCAGCCTTAGCAGAAGAAAAAATAGCGACTCCTGAACATCAACGCCGAATGTATGTTGCCTTCAACAACACAATATGTATCGGAAGGATTGTATAGTCATAAATATTACTTGATTACTGGACATAATCATTTCTATGAAAAGATTGGTTCGCTTGTGTACAATTAACAACGTTATCATTTATACTTAATATTTATATGTACATTTCATGTTATTGTACAATATGTTATGACATTTTATTAAAATAATACATCGAAAAATCACTATATACAACTTGTAATAGAATGAAATTCCACAATGAATTTTATATATAAACTTGATTTTTACAACATTTAATTTATAATTTATACTTTATAGTATAACTGCAATAATTATACATGTATCAAATCATATTATACAATCGGAAAAATCTTTTTTCTGCTTTGATTTCTAAAATAAAATAACTTTTTAAATATAATTTTAAAAAATTTTTATTTATATTAATATTATCTTTCATTGCATATCCCTCGCTATTTGCTTTTATTTGTTTTTATACAGCAATTTTTTGACGCCTGCAGATGTAAATGACAATAATAACTCGAGTAACAAGTATGGTACTGCTCTGATAGTTTCTATTGATGCTGCATGAACAAAGGACCGTCAAAACAATAGTTTCAGTGGTACATTTATTGTCAGTTTTAGTATTGATATGTTGTTGGATCGATTTTTCATTATTATTAGTTGTTATTTAGGTCATGCTTCCGTGGTAGAATATTTTAATAAAAAATATATAGCTTATGCATATCGCGAAATTTATTGCAAACAATGCAAAGTGAATAAAGATAAGAAACATGATTGCAGACGTAGTCACAGTGATTCTTCGAAGGCAATGACGGCAAACATGTTAGTAGAACAAGTGTTAAAAAATAATAACTTAGTTAATGAAAATTGTCGAATTAAGGTGATAATAAGTGATGACGATGCCTCTTGTCTTGCATCCATGAGACGTTTGTCACCTTACGGTATAACCCAATGGTCTGATTTTAACCATGTTAAAAAAACATAATTCGAAATTATATGACATAAAATTGACTTTAGAGAATTCGCTTAGAGAATATTTTTCTAAAGTTTTTGCTTTAGTAGTAACAAAAAATAAAGGAAATGAAGCAAAAGTAAAAGCTATACTGGAAAATATACCGCATTCATTTGGGGAACATGGAAACTGCGACTTATTCTGTATTCTAGAAAAAAATGGTACACATGTTTATAAATATTTTAAAGATGAAAAGAGTTTAAATCTACGAGAGAAATTAGAAAAAATTCTGCAGCTGTTTATAAATAACTCTTCGCAGATAGCACCGTGTCTATCTAGTCAAGCGAACGAATCATTCAATAATACAGTAATAACAAAGCACTTGAAATCAATGTTTTATGGTGGCTCAGAGTCCCACTGCTTCCGACTAGCTGTTTACCAAAAAAATGTTTGTCATACTTTTATTGTTGATTTGAATCAACAACTGAATTTATCTCCATGAAATTCTACAGAAAAATTTCGTAAAAGAAAACAAAATCAAAGCTTTCACGATACCAAATAAAAAACTACATAAAATTTTAAAGAAGGAAAGAAATTTAAAAACAGCCTATTGGAAAATCGTGAAGAAGTATTATGTTAGTCAGGATGCGGTTACTTGAACACTTTTGATTTGATTGACAAAACTATCTTAATTGGTAAATTTCTACATTGATTGGTATCATTTAATTGGTCGCATTCGTTAACTAATTAACTGTGAGACTTATCTAAAAAGATGCTATTTGTTACATTTTTTTGTTTCATAAAGTAATTTTTTTTTAGATAATATTGATATCAATGATTCTGAAATCGTTATATTTGATATCGAAACAACAGGTTTTGCTTACACCGATGCAATAATTTAGGTGATTTATTTCATATTATATATAAAATGCTTTTTGTTAATTTTTCTTATTGTTATTTTTATGGATTGCTGCTACTTGTAAAAGTAATAATTTTAATATTTATATAATGTCTGATAAACCAATGCAACCACAAGCATCTGAGGTTATTGGAATAACAATTTGCGACAAAATAATGTACTTAAAAGAACAAGCTGTAGAAATTGTTTTTGCTAAGGAAGCTTTTATGAAGTTTTTATTTTTTTTTTAAGTTCATCATGAAACCATGTATATTGGTAGTTCACAATGACAATAAATTTTATATATCACGAATTTGTAATTTAACTAAGTCGTTCAATCTTTTTAAGGAATTTATGTTATGTATCAAACGTGGTTGTGATGCCTTATATTTATTTAAAAGTATAAAGACTAAAGACTTCAGTGCTACTAAACGCACAAAAAAAGTTATCTTAAAAACAATACGCTTTAGCACATGACTTTTTAGTAAAGAAGATCTGAAGGGCGCTTATGAAGCATTAAACGATGTACTTGTTCTATAAAAATTATTAGAAAAGTTACATATTGATAAGGATGCTATTATAAAAAATACTTCAAGTATTGAATTTATTATAAATAAAAAATTTAGGGCCCAAAAAAAAGAAGAAAATAATTATTTTTTATCAACATTATTGATTTCAAAAACTACGAAAAACAAAATTTCAAAGGCAGGTATCAATAAAGCGATACTTGTAAAAGCTTTTGAAACATAAGGTTTGGATAGTTAACCATCCTTTTAGGAGAAAATATAAACAATAAATCGAGAGTTACTAAAACTAAACAAATTATCAAATCTATTTTTGATGACTTAACCAAAGAAAAAAATAATTAGCTTTAAATATATTATAATGAATATTACTATGTATATTGTTAATAAATATTTATTACAATACTAAATACTGTATTTTCACCTTTTCACGCCACAATTTTAGAAACAGTAATTACACTTACTCTACGACTTATGTTAGCTTGTTTGAATTTCACGGTATTATATTGATGTACTGGTGCCAAAGTATGGCGCATGCGTTTCTAAAACGTATTGAAGAAAAAGATTCATATCTGATAAGTGCTAATTCGCGTGAAGCGAATTCGCCCCGTAGAATGTAAGCTCCTTTAACAGCCGAGCGGCTTCGGATTTGGGCGGTTTCCAAGTTTATACGGGCACCCAGGCCCGTCCGCGCTTTAATTGTATGATATTTGATTATAAGAGGACCGCGCGATATCGCGATCTAGATTTATAGACTTTATCATTCCCTATCGCTTTAATAACGAATACCGAAATCGCTAGTCTCAAAAGGGAATTCGGGTACAGGATCAAGAAACAGTGAAACACCTAACGTAATAATGAAGGTTCTTGTTTTATTACACGGCTATGATAAATAAGAAAAATCAGAATTTTTATTGATTTAATTATTTAAATGTAGGTGGTTCGAATTACTTAATAATCAATAATTTTGTACACGCAAGCACGTGGATAACACTCAGCTTATAGCTATACGCAATAATAATAAAACTGAAAGAGAGGGAGAAAGATAGGTATGAGTTTTGCTGTGCAAAGTCTGTTACAAAGTTACAAGAGAAATTATATGAGTACGCACTTCTTTAGTTAAAATTCCCTTTGGTTTTGGTAATAAGTATATATATTAATTTTTTTATCGGTTCAAAGTGTCCTTTTTCCACAAGTCCAATAAATTCAAGTGAATTGTAGTATAATCGAACGAGTCCAGTAAATTTGATTTATCCAGTAAATTCGATACACTAAATACTGTATTAATATTCTATAATATTATAACCAATAAATTCAATACTAGGTGTGTGTGTGTGTGAGTGTGTGTGTGACTATTTAATGTAATCTCTGATTTACGCATTTTTAATCACCCCCCTTACCCCAGCCTGCAAAGTATGATTGTCAGTGAAAATAAAAAATACCATTCGAAATATCTCTAATTAAACCCTAAAAAATTGCTCATTATTTTAATTAAACCCCTTCAGTTGTCCCAAATAAAATTAAAAACTATAATAATTTTTTATTTTTTGGCAACTGCGATATCTTTAGTAATACTTAATATTTTTGCAAAGAAACAAGACAAAAAAATTGAACCCTTGCTTGTTTTAATTGCACCACTCTTACTTTTTCAAAATTATTAATATATATGTCAAAAACAACAATTTAATTTTATTGTATGTTCTTTTCAAATAATCCAATAACCCAATAATCTATTTAGAAAGAACATACAATAAAATTAGATTGTTGTTTTTGACATATATGTTAATAATTTTGAAAAAGTAAGAGGCGTGCAATTAAAACAAGCAAGGGTTCAATTTGTTGTCTTGTTTCTATGCAAAAATATTAAATATTACTAAAGATATCGCAGTTGCAAAAAACGAAAAAATTATCATAGTTTTTACTTTTTTTTGGGACAATTGAAGGGGTTTAATTAAAATAATGAGCATTTTTGAAGAGTTTAATTAGAGATATTTGGAATGGTATTTTTTTCACTGTCCATTACACTTTGCAGGCTGAGGTAAGGGGGGTTTTTTAGTCGCTACCTTAGTCCTCAGTAAACACACTGACTGTAGTATGTTATCGCAGCATGCTGCCGCAGCACCCTACAGCAGTGCGCTTCGTGTTTGTCACCCATTCTCGTCAAAGTGCACAAATGTGCTGCTGGCCATATCATCTTATTGCTATGCTCTTATATAACCGATGCGAAAACAGCCCGACACAAATAACATTTTATTACAAAAAATGATCACATCTCACGTATGCCTAATTGTACTTCTCGAAAATATAATTATTTGTTATTGTACCATTATATTTCTCATAAAAAATAAAAAATATCGTTATCGATAATTCACCTCCTATTTATTCACATAAAAGACATAATTAAGCAAAAATAAATTCACAGAAAAATTGTACCTTCTGTAGTCTAAATTGTACCATCAGTACAATTCTATAAATTTGTTTCTAAAAGAAATAATAGGACAATTACAAATTACCACTAATTGTTACAACTTACAAGGATGGTATCCGGAAATGCACTTTGCGCAGGCGTAGAGCTTTGTAGTTGTCCTATTATTACTTTTAGAATCAAATTTTTAGAATTGTACTGATGGTACAATTTAGACTACAGAAGGTACAATTTTTCTGTGAATTTATTTTTGCTTAATTATGTCTTTTATGTGAATAAATAAGAGGTGAATTATCGATAACGATATTTTTTATTTTTTATGAGAAATATAATGGTACAATAACAAATAATTATATTTTCGAGAAGTACAATTAGGCATACGTGAGATGTGATCATTTTTTGTAATAAAATGTTATTTGTGTCGGGCTGTTTTCGCATCGGTCTTATATATCTATTATAATATATAATATACGTATTATAATATAATATATCTATGCGTGTGAAACTATGCGTTTCCTATAAGGTTACGTGTTAAATTGGTGATTTTTC